GTAAAAGAGTAACTAGAAGCGTTCTCGCTGCAGAACTATACGCAATAGTAAATGGCTTCGACTCCGGAGCAACCATAAAATCAACCCTTGAGAAGATTTTTGGTATGCATATTCCTTTGATTATTTGTACAGACTCAAAATCCTTGTATGAATGCCTGGTAAAGCTTGGCACTACTCGAGAAAAGAGATTAATGATAGATGTTATGTGCCTCTGTCAATCCTATGAGAGACGGGACATCACTCATAAATTTGCAAGATGCTGTAGCTCTAGACGTTTGGGAGAAAAAGTGGGGTTCTGCAAAGACAAATAATGGGCCAGCATTAAGGAAAGAGAAGAGGAGAGGGTAAACGGGGGGGTAATGTTACGGTTTGACCGTTGTTTGAGCTTAGGTGGATACCTAAGCCTGATACTAAGAATTTTTACAGTGAGGCTGTATGAGGGGGAGATGAAGCTGAACGAAACGGCACTACTACTCAGGATGCTGAAGCGTCATTACAACTTAATGATACCTGGAAATACGTGGCTGGGTAAGAAATATTGTGCCCAAGGACAAGTCACTAGTCTGTAGATTCACGAGGAGGATTAACTCTTGTAAATACCTGTTAGTAGTAGCTAGAGTTAGCTTTTCTCCTCATATAGTTTATTAAATCAATTTATTGATCACCAACTCAGTTTCTGTCACATCAACCCATTTCATCCACTGTAGCCGTCACGCACAACAAACGCGTAGGCTCAGAAAGTCAATGTCTCACGCTGACTTTATCAAAAAGCTTCTCAGGCCCAAGTGCCACAATAGCTTCAAAATAATTGCGGAGGAAACCGGCTGTTTTGATAGCCAACCTGCCAACTCATCCACTGCTCTCAGCAGGGATGAGACAAATTAGTCATTGCCACAGCGCATGACACAAAAGGGATCGAGGCGAGAAGTTTCGTTTCTCTGAGGAAATTTTTTTGTACTTGAATTTAGGGTTGAAATATGGAGTCTTGCTTCCGGAGTTGGAGTAGGTGGTGTCTTCTGAGTTAGAATTTGCCTTCTACTTTTTCTGTAGCGGGTCTTTCGGTTGGAATGAGTTGGGCCTGTTAGCAGTGATCCCCGACATCTCCACCAGTCTTGCACCTATGGTGGAGCTAGAGCCTTAGCTTAGGAATTTAATATAATAAAAAAAATCTGATTATTTTATATCTTAATACAAATTTTCAATACCAATTTCCTCTACTTATCTTCTAGTGTGGGATGGGTTATGTATCACGTACGTGATGTTAAGATTATGAGTGTCATGAATGCGCTTTTCACATTAGAAGTAAATCGTCATCCACGTAGTGTAGCACGCAGAGCCAGGGAAATGGAAACAGGTTAGTGATAAATTAGATACCACCGATTGCTACACTCACCCGTAGATCACTCCTAAAAGAGACTAGCTACGGCGCTATCTGGAAGTATGTGGGATTGGTTAATGATCATGAACATAACCTGTAACATAACACAATAACATAATAAGATACCATTTTGTATCCCGTAATATTTTATTGCCATAATCACCCAAGTATATTCTAAGCCCCCTGAGTAGTGACAACCATTTAATTGAAGATACCAAGTGTATACAACCATATACATCACCACCCTTCAATAATGAGCGCATATGGGTTGAATCTCTACCTTGGAAGGATGCTATATGTGTTTGTAGAACACCAACGTAGATACAGAAAAGACTTGTGTTAACTGAGGAAAGCTTGTATTCAGATGACTTTTGCTTACTCCTACTGCTAGGAGATACATCTCATAATATACATGTCCTAGAGGGCCATATCACGGTTCCTACACTATCCAGTACATTCCATTCCATTCCATTCTACTCTATACTATTCGATCCCATACCGTTCCATTACAACTCTATGATGCCCTAATTATTGGTTACCCTCAAGTCCATGTCCTTGGACTTGCATGAAATATTGGCATGCATAAATCTGCACAGATCTGGGATCTCTTGGCAGATTATAACACGTGACAAGTAGATGGAAAGACAACTGGATGTATATAAATTCATTGTTATTCTATTCTAGTTGGCTAAACCAATATCTAACTAATAGCACGCGTGCGCGTCTAGATTACGTGGGCCAACAGATCAACCATTCTTCAATGTTCCGCTGCCAGTTGGATATGGTGGATAGCAACATCAAGTCTCCTCCCTTTCAGTTGTTGAAATTGGCGCTACTTGGCAATGAAGAGTTGCATTAATACGGAATGTAATAAGGTTCTATTATTACTAGCCACATTCATGACGACTCGTACATTGACCAGCCTCCCAATTATTTAGCATAAACAAATGAATCGTGTCCTTCGCTTAGCTGTAGTAATTAGTTTCAATAGCGCTCTGATACTAAGTGGGTTTAATCAACAACCCTCCACTATAGTTTTCAGACTCTTCAATGTCCCAACTCGTTTCACTAGGTGATATTAAATATAAGCCTAACAGCTTAAGCTTCTCTATACAACTTCCATTACAACATCGGTCAGCTTTGGATGCACTCATGCATCCAGTCTCTTGAAGGAAGTGGAGAGTTGCTTCTTTTCCAATTTTTGTATTAAACAGTATCTCTAATCTCAATAGCATTATGTCTTTAAAAGCTTCCTTTATTTCGGACTAAAAGTTACTACAATAAAGAAGTAGGTATTGAATAGACTGTTTTCCCTTCCAACAGAGGTTTCATGAGTTATCACTTACTTTTTTTCATTCGAAATAAATGGGCCCTGGTATTTCCAATCCCTATTCTTACTTGTATAAATGAAGATTATGTCATTCTACTGTAGTGACTGAAGTTGTATGGTCTCATTTTGATGATAGGTGATCTTTTTCTGGCTTGCACTTGATAGAGCCTTCCCAGTCCTTTTGCCCTTCTACCCTCTTCCTGTCTCAGGACCTGGGTCTCCCAGTCAGTTTGCCAGGCTTTGAGAGTCAGTTCCTTTGCCATCTGCTTGAGGTAAGCAATGGTTGTGAGTTTATATCTTTTTTTGACATTTTCCTTGGCCCCACCTCTTGCCAGATTGTCTGCTAGCTCATTCCCAGCAATACCTTCATGGCCTGGACACCAGTGTAGATGAATTTGATATTTATTGCTTTTTATCCTTGTCTGATTTGAGATAAAATTATCAGCTTTACTGACGCTATGAATGGCTGCTTGACTATCAGAAAAAATCCAGATCTCTCTAGAATGTCCATTGGATATAACCTAGTTTATAGCTTTCAAGATACAATATGTCTGAGTATCTGAGATTTTCGTAGTGCGTCCAAGATTGTAAGATAAACATTTCACCTGTCCTGTGAAACCCAGTTTTGTTCTTGTGTGTGTGTTTTTATTGTATTACTTGAGTCTATGACTATCTAGCACATTGGGCTCCTCTCTGACCCAGGCTACACCTTGTACAATGCTCCTATCCTCTTTTGTTACTTGAAAGATCATTGATATATTCCCCTTGATGAATAGCCATTCAGCTCATTATTTACCCGTTGAATTCGGCCACCTTTTCCACGGAACCTTCTACCTAAAAAAAAAATATATATATATAATAATAATAAAAAATGGTAGCAATGGAAACTGCATACACGGTAAAAAGTCTCAAAAACCTGCAGCCCCAGCCAGGCGAGGCCTAGACACCGGGACCACATGAGGTGCGCATATTCATCTATATCTCCCTTTTTGGTAACAGTTGAGGTCGAATTGATCCAATCCACCATCTCCGTATCGGGTGCTGGGTACGCTCCGGAAACTCATCAGATGGCTTTTCCTCCATGATCTAGGGTTGGTGATGAGTAGGGCTCCGACCCTACCATCTGATCTGATCGTAGTTAGCTTCATGATAATGGTGATAGGGGGATGTGTTGAGAGATGAAGACGAAACAGACGGCAAAAGCGATTGGGAATCCTCTTCGAAGTGAGGACTTTGCTACTCAATCTCGGCTCTGCAGACTCTACAGTGAGAGCTGGAGGTTCGTAGGGGACATCACTAACAGATGTTGAAAATAGTCCCCCCTGTGAAGCCCAGTTTCAAGCTTAACGTTTCTGATCCTAGAGACACTGTAAATTAAAATAATGTGCTAGGTGGCTTGGCTGGGATGACAATCCACACTACTTTGCTATTTCCAACTTCATGACTGCTCCATCCAAAATAATGGAATTTCACATGCAGTACCCAAACAAACCAGGGCCGCCAAAAAATCTAATGCAATGGCTAAGTGCTTGGAAGAACGAAGATGATGATTATTGCAGTGGGCCTAGCGATGATATTCCCATGACTCCAAGCTTGAGGACAAGCTTTTTTGAAAAGGGAATGGGATCGTTATGGCCTTGTTTATCCGACCTTAGGGGTTCCTGATACCGCTGTTGCTTTCGGGTATTGTATTGTGATCCTATATGCGCACGGACCATCTGTATGTTACGAATATTTGTAAATCTCTGGATATCTTTCTTCCCTTCTTTCTTTAGTTCAAGAGCCTATGAATTGTAATCCTGATTATAATCCTTATCTGATTCTTCTTGGTCATCTTTTACCCTGTGCTCTCTTCCAGTTCTCACATTGGGCTTGGGTGACTGATCTGAGCTGATACCAAACAGGTGACTATTTAGTTGCTCTATTTGGGTATAGTCTGGTAACAGCACAGGCCACTTTCTAATGTATATACTGAAGACTATTTCTCTTGCATCATCCCTGTCCAGCTCAAGACCTTCTATACACAGCATACAGTACAATTCGAATACTATTCTTCTTCAAGCCCTTTTGGATAGATATAAAGCAGTTCAATTTAAATTAGTTCATAATTCAACTTCGATAAACTTTGTTGTACTGAAACACATTCATCATAACTCTAACTCAATATTATACTCTTACTTGGTATTTTATTCTCCAAATCCATGAAACTTTTCTAATTTTTATAAAGCTGGCCGAAAGATATAATAATTTTGATCACGCAATACTCTCTCGTCAGCAAATAAGCGTCTCAAGATGACCACACCAAACCATAGCGAAGATCAGGTAACTAACACCGATTCGGCTATGAGAAAAGTGAACATTGGAACAAGGAGATCAGCACTGGCACTAGTACAGGCAGAGGCAGTACTAGCTGCACTGCGCAAATCACACCCTAATGTCGAATTTGACCTTATCGCCATGGCAACAGCTGGTGATAAAAATCAAGATACATCGTTGAGCAAATTTGGTAGCAAAGCCTTATGGACGCAAGAGCTTGAGACAAGTCTTCTAGAAGGAAGCCTTGACCTCCTAGTTCACTGCTTGAAGGACTTACCGACTCAGCTCCCACCTAATTGTGAAATTGGTTGCATTATGGAACGAGAAGATCCAAGAGATGTTGTCATCATGAAGAAAGGCACACCCTTCAAGAAATTAAGCGATTTGCCTGCAGGCGCTGTTTTTGGGACTAGCAGTGTAAGAAGAAATGCGCAGATCAAGAGACTTTATCCTCAATTGGCGTGCAAAGATATTCGGGGAAATATTGGTACACGACTGAATAAATTAGACGCTACAGACAGTGAATACTCTTGCTTGATCCTTGCTGCAGCGGGTATCTTACGCATGGGATGGGCTGAACGTATAACACAGTACTTAGACTCTACGACAGAGAATGCACATTTTTACGCTGTGGGTCAAGGAGCTCTTGCTATTGAGGTGCGGGAAGGTGACCAGAAAATTATCGATATGCTCAGCAACTTAGCCGACTCAAAATCGACCTTAGCGGGCACTTCAGAACGTAGTCTAATGCGAACTCTAGAAGGAGGATGCAGTGTCCCTATAGGTGTTGAATCGACCTGGATCGACAAAGGAAAACTAATGATGAAAGCCATAGTCGTCAGCCTAGACGGAAAGAGGAGCGTTAGAGCAGAAAGACTGGATGAAATTCTTGACGTCAATGATGCCAATGAATTTGGACTGAGATTGGCTCAGGACCTTATTGAAAAAGGAGCACTCCTCATACTTGATCAGATCAAGCAGAATCGATCAGCAGTAGCCTGAATTTAAATTGTTGGAATATATTGATTATACCTTCAGTCATACGAAACCCTAAAGCTAGTACAGTATTTTCGTTAAGGGGTAAAAAGCAATTTAGTCATTGGTCCATGACGGTGAGAAAAGTTCAAGATCACTGCCACAGAGCAGCGCGATTGACACTGAACCTTTACTCACCTTGTACCCTCAAAAATAAGATTTAAGAATTTATCTGATCAAAGTATGTATCTTTTTTTTGCGTCGGATCTAAATTGCGTATGCAGCTATCTAGCTATAACACAATATCAAAGAAAATTACTTCATAGATGACTCAATATAAAGGAAGAGCACTCATGCCTCTGATTTTATTTGCAGGTACCAACACGAAGTTATGGTAGCTTTTTCTTCATCCCAAGTCAACCCTCATCCGTGAATACCGACCCAGGGAAACGTCACAAAAACCCTGAGTTATCCAGACATGCCTCCATCCATTATTTTCCCTCCACGAGATATGTGGTATAGATGTCTCCTTCCCAAGTGGGGTAGGTGCCCAGTCTACTCAAAATATACCAAAGAACACCACCAGGAGGCGGACCATGGCAACTTCCAACGTTCGCTTGTTTTTATAGTGCCAGCTGCACTCAAATGTATATATCAATCATTCTATGTGAGGCCATGGAAGTTAACCTAAGCTCTTGCAGTATCAACATATACATTGTTATCATCGATCTTCCTCACCTGGTGGGTACTTAAAATAAATAAAAGTAATATCATCATCTGGTCAAAATCGTCATGTTTCACGAATGTTATTATACCGTTTCATTAAATGCTTATATCTAAATTGACTCATATTATCTCACACCCTGATTTTTTTCGTTGCGCTTCGGCATGGAGAGTTGGGGGCAGGAGGTGTGGTATTCACGGCACCACCAAAACCACCAACGGAGAGATGAACAGCCACAATTACGGCTATGGATTCTCTCGCAAAATCTCAAGGTGTTAATTTTGTTTACTTGAAGCTAATATGGTTTTATTTAAACAAGGTATGTGACAGACTGGTGATAGCATGCATTAACCCAACTGTGGCACCAATGGCTGAGATAGAAGGGGCCGTCTACACTCTCAAGTCGCTCGCATTGTCACTACAATACACTGTGAGAGCCACACCAATGGAAGAAAGAATGCTAGCCTTAGATAAGGAAATAAAGAAGAGCCAGGAGTATCCGGTGGACAAAACTGCTCCTTAGTCAACACAACGAATGGTAGGCCGACCAACTTACTCGTCGGTCATTGTACCCCCAGTAAAAAATATACTAGCAGCCGGGATTAGAGTTTAAGGGGCAGATTAGATGCAGCCAGCTGAGCTGATCAATAAAGTAAAATAAATATTGAGGGGGCATTCATCGTAAGGCAGCTGTGGAGTATCGACGCTGAGGTGTTTGTGCAGTCGCTGTCATAGCGAGAAGCTGCCCTGAATATGGCACAGACAAAGGTGCTCTACGTCTTAAAGCAGAATTATCCTGCTAAATTTTGGCAGTCCCTTTTAGGCCCACGATACAAGGAGGGATAAATGCCGATAATAGCATAATGACATACCAGAAAACCATCGAGACAAAGTTTCTGACTCCTGGAATCCAAATCAACAGACTAAGGTGGCTTTATGATGGAAAGGAGCACCAATGAACGAGAAAGAACGGACATACTTGAGGGTCAGTAATCTCAAGATTGCTGATCGAGAATCTTCAAAGTGAAGTGATACAGAACGGCATTGTACTAAACTCAACGCTGTGTACGGTCTAGCTCCGGTCATTCCGGGCTCAAGTCAAGCAGTGATTTAACTGTGGCCATAAGAGGCATACTCATGCCTTGTACAATAAGGCAAAAATGTGTTGTAAGTTTGCGGGCGCTCACTAGACCAGAGACTGCCTAAAAAATCTGTGCTTTGTTGCAACTGCGGCAGAGTCTACGAGTCGTGGCAGAAGGGAGTCCGACCAAACTTTGCGACTCTCAATGACAGTGTCTGGAGGGGATGGTATGAACTGATGATGAGAACGGCAAAACTAATAAGAGGTGAGATTTTACAAGCGCCAACAATACCAGTGATAGCAGGAGGACGAAGGCTGAATACCTGTCAGTGGTGCACTCTACGAACCTGGGAGCGAAATATTCTCCCAGAGCCGAGATTCAGTCACGAGAAAGGGTGAGATGAATTTTTTGATGGATTTTCGCCTTGAAGGAGTTGCACTAGATATTTTGGTCGAAAAATCAGTCGACAGAAATTTCACAGTCGGAACAAAGTCGAACAAAAACTCATCACCATTAACATACGATTCACGAATAGATTTAGGTCTGTCTGGGGGTCGTATTCAAACATCCGACATCTCTCAAACTTCTTTTACATTTGCGACGAAGCATTTATCAGTCGATCCTATACATGCGACCCACTTTCATACTCGTCCGATCGTCTACCTACACACGCCCTAATGAGTAAAGTCATGATGGAAACAGGACGTGTACAAATGAGGAAGAAGAGGGAAGATACACCGAGGGGATTACACAAATCCCCAATGACGAAAACAACCCAACGGTACGATATGAAGGTGCAAGGCTAGAGCAAAGAAGAAATCTTGGACTGCATTTATATTTCGGAGTCAATGAGGATGTCAAGGGCTCGGGCGCGTGGTGGCCGAGGCTGACGAGGAAATTGGGCTATGACGTGTATACAGCGGGTTTCTGGACGGTTAGGCTTGGTATGACTCAACACATAGGTGAGGTCTGAGGTGGTCCGATCATTTAAGTGGGACGAGGCATTCTTGTACTTAACGTTATTTGATCTGATCCGGCCCAATCCACTCATGCCTAAGCTCCAGTAGGATTGCAACGGTAGTCACTTTACCTAGCACGTTAATGAACAAATAAAACCAGTCACAGCAGCAAAACAAACATATAACCGGGGGTTCATACTGCTGTCCCAACAAAAGGCTGAGATAGTCAAGAAAGGGCTAAGACGCCTGCGAAAACAGTGACCAAAAACCCGTCACCTGCACCTACGACGCCATTGGGGTCGAGCTTCAGTCAACTGGCATTCCATCTCGGTACGCGAAGGCGAGAAAGGGCTAACGAGGCTGACTATAGCTAGTCATCTCTCGAACCAATGGCTAATTGCATTTCCTGTAGGTTAAAGAAGCTCCACAGATAAAACTTTGAATGAGTGGGGGATTTTATCACAAGGTTTCCCCCAAATGTTAAAAACTGTAAACAGAGTTTATAGCCACTTGCTCGGGCCCATACGGCACCGAATCAGGTTATTGATATCAAATTCAAGGTAGCTACAATCCAGGTGTGGAAATTCTCCGGGGTTTTAAGTCTTCAATGTAGCGAAAGGTTATGTGTCTATGATCGTAAATTTAAATATATGTAAATTGCGATATATTAAATAGTTTTATGGCTTAGACTCAGCTGCATTGATCTAACTCTTCTGGTCCCACTTGCAGAACAAGAAATGATTTATTAATGATCATCCTTCTCAGTAAAGTCCTTGTATTCCTGGAGATCCATCAAATCATGCATTTCATTTATTCCAGATTCGCTCAATTCCACCTTGGCGAGCCAGCCACTTTTTTCTGGTTCATCGTTGATTATTTTAGGGGAATCTTCCAGCGATTGGTTGACAGCTGTGATGGTACAGGCGACAGGTGCATTAATATCGGAAGCTGATTTAACTGATTCAACAGCTCCAATTGATTCACCCTTGACTGCTTGAAGTTTTACTTCAGGAAGTTCAACATAAACTACATCTCCCAAGGACTTTGATGCATATTCTGTAATTCCCATAGTGCCGGTTTTCCCATCCTCAGAAACTTCGATCCATTCATGATCTTTTGTAAATTTCTTTGCTCTGACTATGGCAAAGTTAGCTTAATCTTACTAGGAAGAAGAGAATGCTATGTAGCTCACTGATAGGAGTGGCAGAGAAGTTCCGAGCTGCAGAACACCGTACAAAAGGTGTGAATTTGCTGCACCTTGGAATTTTTGATCTGAATAAAACTGGCCGGAAAGCTCGAGTAAAGGAAGACATAATTAGATGCGGAAGGGATTTGATGTGCACGCTAGCGGCCACAGCATGAATGGTTGATAGATTTGGAGTTCACGATAAAATTGCTCCTTATGTAAGCGAAACCCCGCTGAAATCCTAACCAGGGTCACTATTAACTATTAACAGATGGGCCCATAACGACGCACCCGGCATACACCAAGTATTAATTACAGACAAAGGGATTCACGCAAAAGTACTTCGCGGCGACATAGTGCGTGAACATTCCTCAAAATTTTTCTATCAATCACAGAAGATCTCTGTCATTTACGCTACAAAGTTATATCGACCAAGCTTGTTGCCCCCATATGCATTGGACTTGTCAGGCGCCGAGAATTGAAGGCGCAAAAAATCTAGGGAATATTTGCCTCAAAGTGTGAATAACTTCGATTACTTGCTCTTCATTTTCCACTGCCATCTTGCTTATTCAGTTATTTACTCGCAACTTCGCTCTCTAATTCACGCAAGTAATGAAGTCAAGTCTAGACTGACTTTATGCCAATCTAAACTCTTCGAAAAAAGCTCCGGAAGCCCGATCAGATTTCGTGACACCGCTGAACTATGGAGACCCATTCTACTAGCGATAGCCAGATTGACAGTGCAGAATATTTAGCCTCGAGTTCAGAAGAAAGACATCTATCTTCTTGCGGCCGGCCTTCACACTCTTCTCACTCCACCGATTCTATTCCATCCCAAGAGAATAACAACTCTCCTAAAACAGATATCGATGCTCGCTACTCTATTCCACCAAGATTCGCACCAGCAACGGCTCGAGCCAACTCTAGCGTCAGCAGCTCTACCTACAATAATGTTCAAACGAACTACCAAGATCAATCTCAATCGCGAAATAAGAGTAGCGTCGTTATAAAAGTAGGAATGGTTGGAGATGCCCAAATCGGAAAAACCTCATTGATGGTTAAATATGTCGAAGGATCATGGGATGAGGATTATATTCAGACGCTTGGAGTAAATTTTATGGAGAAAACTATCAGTATTCGAAATACCGAAATAACTTTCTCTATATGGGATCTTGGGGGTCAGAGGGAGTTTGTCAACATGTTACCCCTTGTGTGCAACGACGCCGTAGCCATACTTTTTATGTTTGATCTCACGCGAAAAAGCACTTTGAACAGTATCAAGGAATGGTATCGTCAAGGACGTGGTTTCAATAAGACTGCAATTCCGTTCTTAGTAGGGACTAAATATGACCACTTTGTAAACTTTCCAAGGGAAGACCAGGAAGAAATTTCTACTCAGGTTTGCTCTCTCCCTTATTAGTTTGAATGACTCACTGACTCCCCTTCTGGCACGCCGATTTGCCAAAGCTATGCGAGCGTCCCTTATATTTTCAAGCACAAGTCATTCAATAAACGTACAAAAGGTAAGTTTAATACGTTGTTCATTGGATGACATGTTACTGATTACCCTGTACGATATCTCCCAATCAACTACTCTCTAATATTTCTATAGATTTTTAAAATTGTACTATCCAAAGCTTTTGATCTCAAATGTACAATACCAGAGATAGAAAACGTTGGTGAGCCGCTTCTGCTTTATCAAACGATAGGATAGTTTCATTCTATTGAGAGATACGGTTCGCTTTGCTTCTTAAATCTCACTCCAAAAGCAAGAAGAAGTAAAGGATTTTGAACAGAAGCTGGTATATAATTTTATCAACCCTATTGTCGTCAGAGATGTTACTAAACAACGCTTATAAAATGCCCTGGTCAGCTGGATAAATGATTATCATGGGAAAATTGCATCAGTAAATCATCGGTCTGGAACCACTGTTAAATTTCGAATGTCTGTCATGATATCTGATAGCCTGGTAAATATAGACAGCGATGATTTGCTTCCAGTAGGAATAGCCTTACAGTTGGAAGTTTTCAAAACGAGGAATCTATCTCATCATTAAGAACGATTATCAGCAAACTCGGCACTGTTTGAATCAAAGCATTTCGTTTTTAACACTTAACCTCGACTGCAGAAAACTGATAATCAAACCATATCTAAGAGGAATTTGATTTTTCACTAAGCAGCCGCTACGATGCCCTATTTAGGTGAGAGTTGGAAGATATTATGTCATGGACACCGAAATTCGTTCCATTGTCACAATTATCACTACCTTCAGTAATTTCTTTTAACTTTACATTTCAGGTCACACATGATTCGAGCTGTGAACTACTCTTGTTTACATCCGGGATCTACGTATTTGCACGAATTGGATCTGATATTTTGTGGACAATAAGTTGAATTTTCTTAGCCTAGGATTATGTAAGACATGCAAGTCGAACAAGGATACGCAAGCCTCTAATAGTATATTATCTTCCCACGCCCTCTTTACAGCCCCCTATCCTAAGATTGATTTCTTTACTTTTATCAATTAAACACTATCATTTGGATCTCTGATCTTTACCCAGGGAAATTAGCTATTGTACGACATTCATTTTGTGTTTTTATGTATCGGCCAGTGGATGTATTTTTTTTCTTCTAAGAAACAAGAATGATTAGTTAGATGACGCGCTGGTGCACAGTTCAAGCTGATAGCACTAGTAGACTTCATTTACCCAAGACAACTATAACAGCCGGGATAAGTTCGCTAATCTGATCTAAGTCCAGATGGTTCGTGCAAATTACTTACGCTATTTGCACACAGGACGACGAAGTAATGCTGTAATCAACAAGAACTCGACATCTTTCGTTTGTCAGTCCTCTAGACCAAGGTTAGAGAAACCTGTTAAAAATATCCTTGGTATCTGTGACCGCGATCAAAATCTAGAGCATGAATTTCTTTCTGTTGAAAGGTTCGATTCTTGTAAACACATGACATAGACCATGTTTTGTTGCTAGATTGCTACGTAATAATTAAAAATTAAAAATTGACAGTATTCGACCCATTCACTACTATATCACTTTCCTTGGAATCATTCGTAAAGAAAATTTGCAACCTCAGGTTCCTACACCCATGGTCTAAGCCCACGATAAGTGTAGATAAGATTAGATTAGATTATATTTATATTATTGTCCCTGCTGAGTCTAAGACTATGGAATACTTCGTGAATCCAACTAAAGACTATAAATACATGTGATAAATTTAAATTTGAATTATGCAACTGCGGGATAGACCTGTGAGGTTTGCCCTGGCTGCGCCGGTGTTAAGTCAGGCGACATATACCACACGAGGATGGTAATCAAAAGTGAAGCTTTGATGAGGCTGGTTGCCATGAGATTAGATGTCGCTGGGCTTGTTGTATGGGGCTTAAAATCAATGCAGTGTTCCCCAAGACCATGATAGTGAAAGAGATATGGTTAGTGTTGAAAGTCATGCGATAAATCTGTAATTTTATCACGTGTCTCGCTTAGTAATCTATACTTTGCGTAATTGTGAAGTGTGTAGATAATGGTACAGTCCCTCTGGGATACACAAGGTAAAACTTCAAACTGGGTTTTTGATTTGATTTGTGTTCATTATCCTGATTTGGCGCCCTATGGGCCCATGCAGGTGGCTATAAACCTATCTATATATTGACATAGGAGGAAACCTCTCGGTGAAAACCCCCCAAGCTTTCTGATTTAATTCTTGTAGTTTGCAGTTTATCCTTCAGGAAGTACAGTTACACTGTAACGCCGTCGATGTGTACCAATCACGTCCCTTCTATCGACCGCAACTTTCTATATGTTCCGTCTCGTTCCCTGAGCAGTCATTGCTTCAAAGGAGCGATTTCGGGCTTGTCTCCAGATTTCTCCTCTACCAATTGACCACTTAGGGCAGGACATTTTTATTTTTTATTGTTTTAGGGTCCTAAGCTATGCTCTATATCTCCTAGGAGTCAAAGACCGGTGTACACGGCCGAGATCATGCTTTCCGCATGGCCACCTCGGTTTCACCGCGTGAACCACTACACAACCATTAGCTAGTTAAAAGAAAGAAAAATAGAAACTCCCGTAAACTCCCATAGCTATAGTTCCAAGCCCAGTAATCCAGTTTGTGGTTAGAAAAGCGATACTCCTCGTCTCGTTTTCCTTCCTGTCATGCTTCTTGCTATGACCTAGTTAATGTTGTCTCCGCTGAGAGCTGGTGACGGACTTGCAGGTGAGTCGCCGAAGCAGCTGGTTTCCTGCGCAAAATTTGTAAAATCCTCAAGGCACTTAGGCCCGAGAAGCTTTTGGACAAAGTCGTGATGTGACATTGTCCCTCGGAGTCGACGCGTCTGACGTTCGTGCAGTCGACAGTGAATGAAGTGGAGAGGTGATGTTTCCTCTCCACACGCACACTCCATTGAAGCTGCGAAGTTGTTGAAACGGCGGTGACATGCCGCGAAGTTTCCGTGGCCCGTACGGGCTAAGATCAGCTCACGGAGTAGCCGCCGAGAAAGTGCCTGCTCGCGCGGCTTGCGTCGTCGCATGAGTAGACCCAGATTTCGATACCTAGGTGGACATACTTCTTCCCACCAGTCGTCGAGAAGCGCTTGACGTTTCTGGTTCATCAGACGACGAACGTACGCCATTGTGACGGGGCCAGGCTGGCTATTTTTACTTGGAAGTTGTCGGAGGCCGGAGCATGCAACCCTATCAGCCTCTTCGTTTCCCTGTATCCCAGAGTGGGCTGGTATCCACTGAACCAAGACTCGAGCCTTTTCTGATAGCGCCCTAAATTGGCGTACATCGTCGAGACTTGTTGTGGCAGTTCCCGTCAGCAGTGCCTTCACTGCAGGCTGACTATCCGTCAACACGTTGATCCACTGCCTGCCGTTACTTCTCCCGTTCTCTCTCTCCAACAATCCTAGCGCAGCTTCCAGGGCCTTCCTCGCCCCTAGTATTTCCGCATCGAGCACTTCACCACCATGCTTGGTACCACATCCCTTCAACAGAGTCTTTCCAATTCTCTTCAAGACGAACCCCCATGCTGAGCGACCATGCCCCTCCGACGATCCATCCGGGTAGGCACAGATATCCGATGGCAATACACCTCTAAGGAACCGAGTTACCTTGTCCTCCTCTTCTGTCCTTGGGCCGAAGTTCGACAGATAGCATGGCGGCGGCAGAGGCTTAGCGTCTTCCACGTCCGGGAGTTGTCGGTAGGCCCGCTGCACTCTTGACATCTGGATCTCCGGATTCTTGGGTGCCCGAGCATTTTTCTTGTACTTCCTTGTTCCATTGTTTGGACACACGGCGGCACGAGTCCGGAGCGGGTGGCGGTTGTCCAGTGAGTAGAGCCGAGCCGAAAGCCGTAGTCGGTTCCCTTCCAGAATGATCTTCCCTGTTGGGATACCTGGTAGGGCAGGACATTTTTTTATTTTTTTTATAAATTTTAGGTCCTAAGCTATGCTCTATATCTCCTAGGAGTCAAAGTGCGGTGTACACGGCCAAGATCATGCTTCCCACATGCCCGACTCGGTCTCACTGCGTGACCCACTACACAACCAGTAGCTAGTCATAAGAAAGAATTTAAATGCTCCCACAGACTCCCATAACCAAAATTAGGGCAGGACATTTTTTTTTTTTTTCATTTGGTCCTAAGCTAACGCTATCTTTTCCACATTGGGTCAAGGACCGGTGGAGCCGGCAAGGATCACTGCGTACAGGCCCAACTCATTCCAACCGCATGAACTTCTACTGAAATTGTAGAAGTTAACAGCAAAACTAAAATCAAAAACATAAATCAAAAACTGAAATCAAATTTGGAAGAAATACTGTTTGGTCCGGATCCCGCGCTTCTCGCCCGTTCCCTTTCCTGCCACATCTTCCAGATGACTTTTTCTTATCTCCGCTGAGAGCGAAAGACTAGTTCGCAGATACCCTGAATTCAGCTGGTATCCTGCTTTATATATTGAAGCTTTTTGTAGACTTCACCGAGGGTTGCTGTACCCTCAAAAGGGCAGGACATGATCATGTGCTTGGGATTTTATGATTGGTAGCCACACGGATAGCAGGAATTGTAGACTCCTGGTATTTTTCTTCTTTGCAAATACGAATTGAGCCCGATATGCTCGCTTCGAATTTGGATTGCTAAGCTACTTTGGGCCCTCGTCAGGTTTTTGTGGAGAGAAAATGGCGACTCCCGGAAGCTTATTTTTGTACGTCCAGAATGGCGGCATTGATAAAACTTTGCTGCTACCCAGGCTTAAGGATCTGCTGAAGCAAATTTTTTAGGCTGTCGAGTTCACTTTGTGGCTGACCAAGATTTAGCCCATTCTAGGTACGCCGCAACTCTTATGGCTTCTTTTTGTAAGTCCTTGGATTTCTCCTCTCCGCAGATCTCTTTCCAGTATGCAAGGTCTGCTCTTCTATTATGTGCTCTAATATCTTCTCTTCCTCTTCTGTAAAGTTTTATTTTAGCACATGCAGATTGAATTGTCTATTGAACTGGTAGAGAATTTGAGCGGCCTACATACTGAGCCCTTCGTTGCTTCAAGTAGATTTCTATCGGAAGAGTAGCAGTCTCATGTTCCAGCACCCTGGTGCTGGTCGATTTGTATGCTCCTTCAAACTGGGTTGATTAAGGGATTAGCCCTGTAGGCGCAGTTCGGCTAGTTCGTAATAGGTTAGACTGTCTCTCCTCCTTACCCCGC